AGTGCTGGGACTGAAAAGGGGCTAGAACCAATCAAACTGGTCAACTGTTTGGAAAGGGCTGACACCACGGGGCTGGGAGGAGAGAGTAAGGAAGCCCTGAATTGGAGCTCAGGACCATATTCTACAAAGGCTGGCAGAGTTCGGAGTGTCCGGTTCCAGGAAGATAGTGGGGTAAAGGTTCTGAGGGAAAGGCCAGAGGATGGCAGAGAGCTTTTGGCCAGGGCAATAGCCATCAGAAGATGGGAAAATGGGGGGTTCTGTTGACCAGATGAGGTCTAGCAGGGAAAACAGGAGACAAAGGAATTAGCTCTTGCACAAAGACTGGGATTTGAAATGAGATGGAAAACCGGGGGGGTAGAGGCACAGGGAAGCTCTTCCAGATGGCAGGAACTACAGAGGAGAAGGCTCTTGTTCCCCCATGGGCCAGAGAGGAGGCCAGCATTAGATTAGCAGGGAGAGAAGAATGAAAGACGACTAGCAAGACCACGGAGGGTTCTGAGCAGCACAGAGCCACAAAGGAGGCACGAAGAGAAGTGGGTGTGGAGGGTTTTAATTACCAAATGAGAAATGTGTGCAGCATGCTAGCGCAGCCTAGCTCTAGTCTCCTCCAAACAAAGAGGAGCTATAAATAACCTCTACTTCCTTCCAGCCTGCCCTTTGTCAGTTGCAGGGGAATGCCCTGGGCTCTGTGCAATGCCTGGAGAAATTTACTGGTGTAATTATACGGCTATTGTACTAGTATAACTGCCCGTGTGGCCGTTGCTATTCCAGAATTCGTGCTTGTTATGTTGCTTGTGAAGGGGGTTAAACTAGATTGAAAAAAGCCACCACTGTTCCCGAAGAAAAGTGTGTATATGGGGCACTAAACTGGTGTAACTAGACCTGTATAACTATAGTGGTATATAATGGCTATGTAGACAAAGTCTTGCTCTAAGCTGAACCAAACACACAACCTCTTGAGCACCGGAGTGGCTACGGAATCAAGTCTGCAGCATGAGAGCTATTGGCCGGTGGAACGTTCCTAAGGGAATGATGTAGAAAGTCCAGAACTTAGCGCAGTTAAAACCTAGATTGGATGTTATGCTGTACGGAACAACGCCTTTCCTGGGGGGCAGTATGGTCCAGTGGATGATGCACTGGATTGGGAACCAGGAGACTTGAGTTATATTCCTGGCTCTGCCACGTGATCTTTGGAAAGTCCTCTTTCCCTTCCGCCTTCTGCGTCCGTTTTCTTCTCTGCAGAATAAGTGCTGACTTTTATGAAGTGCTTTTGAGGCCTACAGATGAAATGGCTATTAGAGCTAAGCCAAGTTCTTATTACATTAGCCAAAGTGTAGACTGGATGGGATCTATTAGCTTCTTGGGTTCACTAGCCAATGCTCATTGTCTGCTCCTCTGACACTTAATTGATACCAAAGTAAATAAATCTCTTTTAAACAGACCCACGTTTTCATATCACTCTGCCACAGTTTTGCTTGGTGCTTTGATTTGAATAAACCTGTTTCCATGGACAGCTTTGCGAGCAGTTTGATTTTATGCATTTGCCCTTTATTTGACTAACAAACATCCCAAGAGAGGAGATCAGCTGGTGTTCTCCTGGCTGTGTCTGAACGGCTACATAGGGTGACCTCTTTTCTTTGTTTCACTCCTGCAAATCTAATGATTCTCACCAGAACTGTGTTGGAAGTGCCTTGGATTTGTAGATTTCCAAGCCAGAAGGGACCATAATGATGACCTAGTCTGAGCCCCTGTATAATCCATGAATTCCTCTATCCAACCTAACCGCTTGGGTTTGGACCGAGTGCTGATCTGACTGTTCTTTCTGAAAAGAGGCAGACCCTGCCTCAGAGAGCTTGCGCTGTAAACAAAGGGCTTGTCTACACTGGCAAGTTTCTGCACAGTAACTCCCGAGGTGCACACACGGCCAAGCCACTTAGTGCTCAGAAACTGCGCAGTTGCAGGGCTGTAAAAAAAAAAAAAACCACCCCAATGAGAGGCGTCAAGCTTTCTGCGCCGGGGGTACAGTGTAGACACTCTGGTCGATTACAGCGCTGCGATTGGCCTCCGGGAGGTCTCCCATAATGCCTGCTCTCGCCTCTCTGGTCATCGGTTTGAACTCTACTGCCCTGCCTTCAGGTGACCAGCTGTCATCCCCACCCCTTAAATTCCTTGGGAATTTTGAAAGTCCCCTTCCTGTTTGCTCTGATGTGTGCAGTGGTCTCAGTGCATCTTTCCATGTGACCATGCCTGCTCCATGCACCAAGCGATCCCCCGCTTGGAGCAATGCCGAGCTGCTGGACCTCATCAGCATTTGGGGAGAGGAGGCTGTCCAGTCCCAGCTGTGCTCCAGCCGTAGGAATTATGATACCTTCGGACAGATTTCACGCTGCATGACAGAAAGGGGCCATGAGCGGGACACATTGCAGTGCACGGTCAAAGTGAAGGAGCTGCAGAACGCCTACCACAAGGTGCAGGAGGCAAACCACTGCTATGGTGCTGTGCCCACGAGCTGCCGGTTTTACAAAGAGTTGGATGTGGTACTTGGCAGCGACCCCACCTCCACTGCGAAGGCCACTGTGGATACTTTGGTGGCTCGTGTGTCAGCTGAGAGTGGGCCGAGCCAGGAGGAGGAAATCTTTGGATGAGGATGTGGAGGGGGACCCAGAGGCAGAGGATGACTCAGAGATGCATGCAACCTGGAGCTCTCCTCTACCCCTGAGGAGGCTAGCCAGTCACAGCTGTCGGATCTTGGTGAAGTGCAAACAGGAGAGGAGGCCCCGGTAAGTGGCTTTGATTTTGGGAATCACTGAAGCGAGTTGTTGAGGGCAGGAGGGTTGCAGAAAGCAGTCTTGTGTCTGTATGATGCGTGCACCACTACTTGCTTTGTCTGAGCAGCGGAACAGGGTGTTGATTGACTCCCTCTCTTCACCGCATAAGGGTCAGGGCGGAAGCCAGGGTCTTGGAGAAGACCCTCCCTTGATTCTCTGCTCATCCTCAGCAGCGAGATATCGTCCAGAATGATCACAGCCTGTGGAAAATTTGGGGACAGGAATGATTATAAGGCCCCCACTATAGTGCTGGCTCTCCCCAAGAGCCCCGTGCCCCGTGTACAGTATGGTCCTGGAACACTGATTGATGTCCCCTGCCCCTGTGGTTACTCACCATTTTGGGGGTCTTTTGTGGCTCGTGTGTGCTTGCCCAGGGTCAGCCAGTTAGTGACAGGTATGTGAACAGTGGCTGTGTTTTAAATCAGTGGTTGCAAACAATACTGCTTCTGTAAAATGTTGCATTTTGGCTTCACAGATATCATCACCTTGGGAGCCCAGCCTCCCTCTTTGTTCTCACCGGCTGAATGGCTGCGCAGAATTAGAAAGTGGCCACGAAGAACTAAAGAGGACTTTCTGCGTGAGGTCATGATGCGCTTCAAAGCCGAAAAACAAGAATTGAAGGAGTGGTGGGACAGCGAGAAGAGGGACCGAAAGGAGAAGGCGGTGTGCCAGAACGAAGCCACGGAGCGGCTCTTAAACGTTACGGAGCGCCAAGCGGACACGCTCCAGGTGCTACTAGCACTGCAGACCGAGCAGCTCCGTGCGCCCTCCCCTGCAGCCGCTGTCGCAAAACTCTTTCCCAGGCACCCCTCAGACACCGCCAACACACGCTTATCAACCTCCTGGCTCCAGTCTGTACCCGCTGCATTCCACTCCCGCCCCGTCACAGTCCATCCCTGCGGGCTCCTGCAGTACCCACTGCACTCAACGCCCATCCCTCTGCAGTTTAGCCCTACTGAAGTACAGTACTGGGTGCACTGTACTCCAAAGGAGAAGGTTGGGTATGATACCTGGACATACACAAATCTTTAACCGTCCCAGGACCCCACCTCCTCCTGGGACTCTCCCTTCCCCTATCCCCCTCAGTGCTGATGTATTTTTGTTTGTTTGTTTGTTTGTCTCTCTCCTCTGGTGGCTGTTTTTTAAATAAAGAATTGTTTTGGTTTGAAAGCAATCTTTATTTCATTAATTGAAAGCAAACCGAGCCCTGCAAAGCCACTGGCAACTTTCTTACACCTTCATAGTGCATCATCTGCACCAATCACGATCACTTCCTAGCATTACAAGCACTGCACTCCCAAGCGTAGCAACAAACATTAGTGGCTTTCAGCTTCAAATTGCTGCCTCAAGGCATCCCTGATCCTTATGGCCCTGCGCTGCGCCCCTCTAATAGCCCTGGTCTCTGGCTGTTCAAGTTCAGCCTCCAGGCACTGTGTGAAGCTTTCACCCTTCCCTTCACAAATATTATGGAGCATACCGCACGTGGCTATAACCATAGGAATATTGTCATCGTCCAGGTCCAGCTTCCCATATAGACAGCGCCAGCGAGCCTTTAAATAGCCAAAAGCACACTCAACAGTTATTCTGCTCTTGCTCAGCCTGTTGTTGAACCACTCCTTGCTGCTGTCAAGTTGCCCCTTGTATGGCTTCATAAGCCACAGCATTAGGGGGTAGGCAGGGTCTCCCAGGATCACAATGGGCATTTCGACTTCCCCTACAGTGATCTTCTGGTCCAGGAAGAAAGTCTCTGCTTGCAGCTTCCTGAACAGGCCAGTGTTCTGAAAGATGTGTGCGTCATGCACCTTTCCAGACCAGTCTACGTTAATGTCCGTGAAATGCCCACAGTGATCCACAAGCACCTGGAGAACCATCGAGAAATACCCCTTGCGATTAATGTACTCTGGGGGTAGGTGGTCTGGTGCCAGAATTGGAATATGTGTGCCATCTACCTCCCCTCCGTAGTTAGGGAAGCCCATCTGTGCACCGCCATCCACAATGTCATGCATGTTGCCCAGAGTCAAGGTCTTTCTGAGCAGGATGCGATGAATGGCCCTGCACACTTCCGTCAACACAAGTCCAACAGTCGACTTTCCACTCTGAACTGGTTAGCGACCTATCAGTAGCTGTCTGGAGTAGCCAGCTTCCACAGTGCAATCGCCACACACTTCTCCAATGGCAGGGCAGCTCTCATTCTCATGTCCTTGTGCCGCAGGGCTGGGGCGAGCTCATCACACAGTCCCATGAATATGGCTTTCCGCAGCCACTGTTCATCCTCCCAGACGTGCATGATGATGTGATCCCACCACCCAGTGCTTGTTTCCCGAGCCCAAAAGCGGCATTCCACTGTGGTCAGCACCTCTGTGAATATCACAAGCAATCTCGGGTCGTAGCTACTACGTGTGGCGAGAGGAGTGTCACACTCCTCTTGCCTTTGTAGTTTAAGGAATAACTCCACTGCCACTCGTGACGTGTTAGTCAGAGCGACTAGCATATTTTGTCAACAGTGCGGGATCCATTCCTGCAGACCTGAAGAGGTGGAGCGTGCAGTACAGAAACTGTTGAAAGATGGTGCCAAATGCGGACGGAAGCACAGGGATTGCTGGGATGCGAAGCAATGCATCGTGGGCATTGGGACAGGACCTAGAATGCCCCACGACCCCTTCTGCCTTCCCACAACTCTTAGCGGCGGAAAAGGAAGAGGGGCTCTGGGGGACAGCTGCCCAGAGTGCACCACTGCGAATACCACTGCAAGTGTGACCACGCTGTCGCGCAGGCAGCTGACCGTGTGAACGCTCAACAGCAGTTTCCCTTCAGCGCTCTCGGAGCGGCGCTGTATCTGCCGGTACTGTAACTCTGCCGGTGTAGATGTAGCCTGAGCTATAGCACGCCAGCTTGCCATGCAGTAACTCGCTAAGTGCCTGCCGCTCCAGCGAAGTGAAGGTCCGAGGGCATAGCTGGGAACCCCCGTCTCGGTTCCAAGGGCGCCCGGTCTGGGTTGGAGTGGGTGATGTATGTGTCTGGCAGGGCGTTCAGAAGGCTCAGTGTCCCATTCCCAGTCCCCAGGGTCGTCCAAAATGATCTGAGCAGGAATCGGTTTTCTCCAAGTATGTCTGGCGCCTGCCACCAACTTGATTTCTGGTTGGAAGGAAACAAACCAGACAAGGGGTGTTCATTCGAGGAATGATGGCCTAGTGCTTCGGGGCACTAGCTGAGGCTGTGAAAGACCTGGGTCCAAGCCCCTGCCTTGCCACAGGTTTCCTGTGTGACCTGGGCCCAGATCCTCAGGTATTTGGGTGCCTAACTCCCACTGATTTCAAGAACCTCCAGAGAAGCTGGGCCTCGCCTCAGTTCTGCACCTGCCCTCAGTTCTGCACCAGCCTCACAAGTTGGCTGTGAGGGTGACTTCATTGAATATGAATGCTACAGGAGCGGGAGCCAGGTGGGTCCCTTAGATGTGCAGTTAACAAGGCCGGATCCTGATCACCCATGCGGCGTGAGCCCGCTTTCCATCCAAGCCTGCTGACAAAGGGCAGGTAACCGTCAGCGATTCTGCCCGGGGTCAGAGCTGTAGATTTGCATGAAGAGGATGGAGGGCTTTATTTTGTTGACAACTAAGCACAGTGCATGCAAAGAACGAGGCTTCATATTCCTGGCCCGCTCGGGCCATTCAAATCCTCATTGCGATCAGTATCTACACACACGCGCGCGCACGCTTTCCTTGACCTGCTGATCTGGAGCGTAAGTGGTGGCTTTGCAAGAGGAGATTGATCTGGGAGGGTGTTGCTATCCATATATATTTGCTTGACAGGCAGTGTAGGCTAGTCCACTGAGCGTAGTTCTGGGAACTTGGACTTCTAATCCTACTGTGATGTGACCTGAGACTAGCCGCACTGACTGGGTGTGCCTCAGTTTCCCCATGTGTCAAAGGAGGGTAAGAAGTAGTGACTCGCCTCACAGCGGGGAAGCAGCATGTCTGGATGTTAGAGCAATGGCTTAGAAGCTCAGACTGCTCTAGTGGCTAGAGTGGGGGGTTGGGAGCCAGGACGTCTGGGTTCTATTGCCAGCTCTGGGAGCGGAGTGGGGTCTAGTGGTTACCGGGTGACTGGGAGCCTGGACTCTTGGGTCCTGTGAGCTCAACTGAGTCAGTTCCCCTCTCCGTGCCTCACTTTTTCCATCTGTAAAATGGAGACAGGCCCTCCTTGGGGGGAGCATGAAGCATCCAGGGTTGTTTGAAGATGCTTGGTGCTCTTTGGGATCGGCTGCTTCTTGATCACAAGACCCCGTGTTACCGCCTGCCTGTACCAAAGGCATTCCCATTTCTACTTGCTCCCCGGTGTCCCTATTACTCCTGGCAACGGGGTGTCGAACAAGGAACGTTGAGGTGGGGAAGCACTGGAACGGTCCACCGGGACTTCTGAGACCTTTCCTGGCTAAGCCTGGAATTGCATCTGCCATGCCGAAGGCTTTCCTGGTGAAAAGGCACCGGGCAACCACGCTGGGGTCCCAGGACTGGGGAGAGCTCTCGGACCAGCTGCGGGGCGACGCCTACGTCCCAGGTAGGTGCCTAGTTCATTACCCTTGGTGGGGGGTGGGGGATTCCACTTACTTTAGGGCATAGGCCACTCTTAATGCTGGTGAAAGCGACCAGATTCACCGCCCTGATGTTCTCTGCTTACCCACTGAGTGCCCAGCCCAGGGAGCTGCACCCGCTCTGGGGCAGAAGGGCGCTCCGTCTCCATGGCCTGGTAGATCCACAGCCTCTGTGATCAGACTGTGAATGAGGCAGGGACAACGGTGGTGGGTTTTGTGACCTAGCCATGCCTCCCATAAGGCCCCCCACCCAACCCGCACAGGGAATAGAGGGCCCTGAGTGGGACTGGAACCAGTGGCCAAGAGGGAAGATGCGTTCTAGCCTGGGCTGTTCAACTCCCTCCCACGTAATGGCCATGGTGTCCCGACTGGTACCGCGGTGGCCTGGCTGGCTGGCTGGCTTGATGTATGGGCGCAGGGCAGTCTAACCTGCCCCTTTTGCCGGGTGCTTTTCATGGAGCTGCTGAGGGCTGTGAACCAAGGATGGTACCCAGCAGGAAGCGATTCCTGCTGGGTGATTTCCCACACGCACACTGCCTCTCTCTCTGTGAGGCTGTGCCTGATTTCCACTCGGCGCTCATGGCAGGAAGCAAGGGCAAGTCTAAGGTCATGTGTGTTTTGACCTTCCAGGGAGCAGCATGAGCATCTGCCCCGCAGCCTCAGGGGCGTTCCCAGAGGACAGGAAGAGCAGCTGGGACGGACCAAGTCAGAGAAGCTCCCCTAGGCCCCATCCAAACCTGCTGCCCCCTGATACTGCAGTGAAATACCCTAGAGCAAAGGTAAAGTGTGTGTCTATTTGATAAGAGCAGGGAGGGGGACTGGAAGCCAGGACTCCTGGGTTCAATTCCTGGCTGGGTGTGAAGTGTGCCATCCAGTGACTAGAGTGGGTGTGGGGGACAAAGAGTCTGGATTCCTGGGGCCCATGCTTAGTTCTGGGGAATGGGTTTAGCAGTTTGAGCAGATGAATAGGAATCTGGACTCCTGGGCTCTATTCCTGGCTCTAGTGGGTTAGAGTGGGGCGGGCTGGGAGTCAGGACTCCTGGGTTCTGTCTCCAGCTGTGGGGTGTAAGGGATTGGGGGAGGGCAGGGAGCGAGGATCCTGGGTTCTATTCCTAGCTCTGAGAGGGGAGGGGAGACTAGTGGTTAGGGTTGGGGCAGGGCTGGGAGTCAGGATGCCTGGGTTCTGTTCTCAGCTCTGGGGAGTGGTTTAGCAGTTTGAGCAGGTGACTGAGAATCGGGCTCCTGGGCTGTATGGTCATGGCTGAGGACCAAGCTCCAGAGTGAGGCAGTGGAGGAGCCAGCAATAGATTCCCCCCACCTCCCAATTCCCTGTTGCTTGCTCTAACCGCTGCACCTTGCCCAGAGGGGAAACCTAGTGAGTACCCAGGATAGAAAATCTTTCTCCCGTGCCGGAGGGAGGAGGTTTTGCTCCAGCCCGTACAGCTCCTTTGGAGCCCCTGGGGCTGTCTGGGAGTAGAACAGGACCCAGCATGGCTATGTGCCTGCATAGGGTAGGCAACACCCCTCACCCCTTCCTGTAGGGTTGTGATCACACTCCCCCTTGGGAGTGACCAGGGCTAGATCGTGATCAGCCGTGAGGGGAAGATCCCAACGGCTGCCATGACCCTGGTTGTGGAAACATGGGGTATTTTCTTCCCCCTGAGACCAGGTGGAAAAAAGGGATTGGGCACACCGAGCCGCAGGCATGGGAGGAGGAATGTGGGGGCACCCGGAGCCCCTGCTTTCCCTTCCCCACCCTGCCGGGGGCTCTAAGATTTTCAAGCCAGCAAGCGACACCGCTCAGCCCTGCTGTCAGGGGCAGTGCCCCCCACCTGCTCCATTTCCCACCTCCCTCCCGCACTCCCTTTTGCAGGGGAAAGGGCCCCAGGGGCCGGGCGACTTCCCCTGCCCTGGGTGCAGCAAGGCCTTCCCCCTGCAGCGCATGCTGACCCGCCACCTGAAGTGCCACAGCGCGGTCAAGAAGCACGTCTGCCGATACTGCGGCAAGGGCTTCAACGACATTTTCGATCTGAAGAGACACACGCGGACCCACACCGGTGAGGCTGGGGCTGCACGTGGGAAGCAGGTTGTTTAAGTGGGAGGCTCTTCTGCTCAGTCCCTCCCTTCTGCCCTGAGGCCTCCCCCCACAGGGGCCAGGTCCCTTATAATTAGGCTCCTTCTCCCTCTCCCTTGTGGACTCTCCGGGGCAGGAGAGGGGAGCTAGGTGGAATGGCAGGCAAAGGCAGCCCCAGGGCAATTGTGGGGAAAGCATTGGAGGACCATCAGCACCCCAGGTAAGCAGCCTGCATCCACACTGCACAAAGTGGGCAGGTTCGAGCAGAGCCTGGGCCCCAATCCAACCCCCCAGCTAGCCTGGGTTTAAAGTACCGGCAAAGCCAGATCTGAGAGTTCTTTGTGTGTGGATGGGATTTGGCCACGGTCCCACAGGCAAATCAGGGACTCGAACCCAGGTCTCCCAAGTGCTCGGTTGGTGCCTTACCCCGGGTCATCCTGCCTCTCTGCCCGCTAACCTGCGTGGACTCCCCTCCCCCACGCGATTTGGGGGAGAAGAAGTTAGGTCTTGGGTTCTCTCTGTCCCCTAACCCTGTCCCGCTCGCTGCAGGCATCCGCCCGTACCGCTGCCACGTCTGTGCCAAGGCCTTCACCCAGCGCTGCTCCCTGGAGTCCCACCTCTGCAAGATCCACGGGGTGCAGCAGAACTACGCCTACCGTGAGCGGCGCGCCAAGCTCTTCGTCTGCGAGGAGTGCGGCTTCACCTGTGCTGCGGGCGATGAGTACTGCGGCCACGTGCGGCGGCTCCACCCCGGCAACTCCCTGCTGCGCAAGCAGGCCGCCGCCTCCCTCCGCTTCCTCCTCTACCCCAGCGGCCATTACGCCTGAGGCTGGGCCCAGAGCCTCTCGTGCAGCGGGACCTCCAGCCCCAGGGCACGCGGGGATCCTACAGCAATCCGGTCAAGGGGATAGCTAGCCACCCGACAGGGCTAGTAAGCGTTGTTCCCTGCCAGCCAAGCCCTTCCTCAGGGACAAGAGTCCACTGGGCTGACAGGATCCCTGTAATCATTGAGTCAGGCCTCTGTGTAACACAGGCACTAGGGCTGCCTGGAATTGGTTCCTGCTTGACAGAGAGCAGACCTCTTAGAAAAACAGCCCGTGGGGGAGGCTGTCACAGCTCTCCATCACATACAGTGGCTGATTCGCCTCCCTGTAGATAATACAGTAATGAAGAGACACTTCCCAGAGCACTTAAGTGCTACTGTTTTATACCATTTAATCAGCTGAGCCTTCAGCTTCTGTCCCTGGTTGTGCCCTTAGAGGGTCAGCCTCAAATTTAAGGTCAGAAGGGACCGCCCCGATCAGCTCAGCCGACCTCTGCATATCACAGCCCCCCCGGGACCCGGATTAGGCTAACAGGAGCCCGCCCTGTTGTGTGCCACAGGCAGAGTACAGGAGGGAGGGAGGTCTGTAGCTTTGCGATGCGGAGTGCCACTACCAAAATGCCAACCAAACTTGTCTTGTGCCCTTTATCTGCCTCCTCTGCCCAGCCTGAATTGCATCAGTGCCCATGGTTGGTATCAGTCACAGGTCCAAGTTGGAGCCAGGCCTTGCCCCTCTTGGAATAAATGCCACAGGCACAAATCTGGAGCAGGCCACCCCCAGAACTGGTTTCCTTTAATTGCTGGATTCATCCCACTTCCAGCCTGGCTGCCCTTGAGCAGCTCCCTGCAGTTCTACCTACCCTAGGATGTGCTGATAGGGGGCAGGACCTCTGGGTGGAGCTGGGCTTGGACATTCCCACATGCAACAGGAAATGCAGAGAATTCAGAGGTGGAATGTAATTATCCTGGTTTGGATCAAGCCAGGACAAACTTACCACGCTAATTCCATGGAAGCTCTAATGATAATGTAGAGCATGGTGACTGATCCTGCCCAAGGGGTTGTGCCCTCTCTCCTGAGAGGCAGGTCCCTCTAGATAATACAGTAGTAAAGACACCCTCTTAGGCTACAGCAGACCCGATTTTACAGAAGTACGTGCTTGTGTGACTTGAAAAATAAAACCTTTTTATTAACAAAAATACAGCGGTTAGATGACCCCAGGGCAGAACCAGGAGCAGAGGCTATCCAAGAAGGGAACTGAGCCCAAATGTTTCTGACAACCGGGGGCCAGAGGTGATGTCAGGTCTCAAACAGCTGCCCCTTTATTCAGTCCAGCGGTGGCCGCAGTGCGGAGCGGTGCACACGTAATACAGCCTCATGGCATCCTAGACAACAGGAGAATGCAACAACTGAGTGTGACCCAGGGACATCTTGATGCCAACTAGTGAAGGGTGCAGGGACTCAGATTCCAAGGCTAGGACAGCCAGTTGTGACCACCTAGTCTGACCTCTATCCTAGCCTGAGCAAGAGAACAGCCCCAGGTCTCTTAGAAACACATCCCCGTCTTGATTTAAACATTGTCCGTGATGGAGAATCCACCAGGACCCGTGTTCCAACGATTAATTACTCGTGCTATTCAATGTACACCTTATTCCCGGTCTGAATTTCTCTAGCTTCAACCTCCAGCTCTCGGAGCATGTTAGCCCAGGGGTAGTCAGACCTCAGTGGCTCAGGAGCCAAATTATCAAGCAACATTACGCAAAAGAGCCACAGTCATGGGAATTCATTGTTTCATTTACTATAGTACTATAGATTCATATTGAAACAGGATGGGAAATAGCCCGACTTGATTATGTAAAGAGTTGTCACTTTGGATGGGCTAGCACCAGCAGGAGAGTGAATTTGTGTGGGGGGGTGGAGGGTGAGAAAACCTGGATTTGTGCTGGAAATGGCCCACCTGTTGATCATTTTAGATAAGCTATTACCAGCAGGACAGTGGGGTGGGAGGAGGTATTGTTTCATATTCTCTGTGTGTATATAAAGTCTGCTGCAGTTTCCACGGTAAACATCTGATGAAGTGAGCTGTAGCTCACGAAAGCTCATGCTCAAATAAATTGGTTAGTCTCTAAGGTGCCACAAGTACTCCTTTTCATTTAGTTCTATATAATTCTCACAGCAAAATGACACCAAATATTATTATTTTATCAACTACAATTGGCTAATAACATAGTAAAAGCATCCTGCTTGGTTGTTAATTAAATCAGTGTTTTAATATCACATGCTGCAAAAAGCCACAAGAGACACATTAAAGAGCCACTTACGGCTCTCCAGCGTCTGTCTGAGTATGACTCTGTTAGACCTTTCTCTGCTAGACTGAAGAGCCCGTTATTAAATATTTGTTCACCATGTCGGTACTGAGAGACCCCTCGAGTCACTTCTTCACCTTCTCTTTGTTATGCTAAATAGATTGAGCTCCTTCAGTCTATCACTATAAGCCAGGTTTTCTAAGCCTTTGATCATTCTTGTGGCTTTTCTCTCACCCCTCTCCAATTTATCATCAACATCCTTCTTGAATGGTGGATGCCAGAACTGGACCCAGGATCCCAGCAGCAGTCGCACCAGTGCCAAACACAGAGGGAAAATAACCTCAGCATCTACTTGAGATTCCTGTTTATGCATCCCAGGATCACATAGATCCCAGCATCACTCTGGGAGTTAATGTTCAGCTGATTATCCACCCCCACTCCCAAAATTTATTTCAGCATCACTGCTTCCCAGGCTAGAGTCCCCCATCCTCTAAGGATGACCTGCATTCTTTGTTCCCAGATGGATACATTTAGTTGTATTAAAAGGCACGAGGTTTACAGGGATCCCCTGGGTCTGGTATCTTAGTAGTTCGCCAAAGAGTGTCACGTGTCACAAAGTCTCTCCTAAAAGCCTGTGTCTCACTGGTGTCCATAATCATTGCAAAATGTTCATACCAACAACATGTAAGGAGCTGGGTATCTATACTGAACATTCTGTTCTTACGGGCTGTGGCTTGTCACCAGCAAAGGTGAGAAATGGGTTTCTTTCAGGCAAGAGATGTTTATCTAGCTGTCTGTCTACATGTAAAGTGAGTACTGTATGGGTCACAACGGCATCCCTTTACAGTCTGAGCAAAATGCTAATCAAGTGATCGCAGAGTCTCCAGGGGAGACCCTGGGCAGGAAAACCCATGCAACGGGGTTGTCCTGTTTGCAAGTGCGGACAATGGAGTTTTGGACTATAACTGTAAAGACAAACTCCACCGAGGAGGAAAGCGTGCTTGTTTCATGAACAGAAGATCCCAGCAAAGCCTGGCTGTAGTACGCTGGAAGGATTTTGAGGGAGCTTTTGCTTTCATGGCATGCCGTCGTCGTCTTAGTTAAGTTGAGGCTCTAGGATGCGTGTTATGGTTTTATTTTCTATGTAACCCCTTATTTCCAGTAATTCTGATTTCTATCCTTTGATGCTGTTCTTTGTTAAATAAACTTATTCTTGCTTTCTCTACAAAGAAATTAAACGCTGTGGGTTGAACGAAGCTGTTTTCGGTGGTGTAACTGATATGCTGTGATATACTGGGAGGAGGAGCTGGGAGTTCTTTGAGTGTCCAGTGGATCAGGGATTGGACACCACAGCAGGATGCTTGAGGATTGCAGTGTCTGATTGTTAACCTGCAAAGAGACAGTGGGGCCTGCGTAGGCCTAGAGGGGAAGCCGGTGTTGCCCGAGGCTGGTGGTGGTGGACAGATAAGCCCCGGCAGGCACAGACCCAGCTGCCTAATGTTAAGGGCAGCTTGTGGTGAGGTGCATCACACTGGGACTAATCCATTCCTTGATGGGATGCAGCTTAGTCCATCTAGCTTCAACTTCCAGCCAGTGGATCCTGTTACAACATTGAAACCGCTCCACATGGGCCCAAGACAGGCAGGAACATGAAAATAAGACCCTAACTACTAACTCTACGTTATTCCAAACCTAGGAGCAGATCCCCTCACCTCAGCCCTTGCGCTGTGAGACTGGAAGAATACTGCTTCTTTGTGCCCGCACCTGGAATGAAGGGACAGGTCAGCATGGAATCAGAGTAGGGATGTAAGCTCAGAGAGAACGGATTTGGGTTGGCATGTGCTTTGCTGGGAAGGAACCAGCAGGATCACTGGGAGTCTTTTGGTTAAACACATGATGTTATTGTTAGCCACGTTTATTACAGTTGTGCTGAAAGCCCAGTCAAGATCAGGCCCCTTTGTGCTAGGTGCAATTCTTGTCCCAGGGTATGTCAACACTGCAGTAAAAGACCCAAGAGGGCTCAGGCTGCAGGGCAATGAATTGCAATGCAGAAGTGCAGGGGCGGGCAGGGGTTTTAGGGAAACTGGAGGGGGCAGGAGCCAGAGGAGAATGGGTGGAGGGGGAGTCCAGGAAATGGACACAATCCCCCTGCTATTAAAACGGTGCAGGGAATTTAAGCAGGCAGAATGCAAATACCCAAGCCTGGACACACACAACTGCCTGATTCCTTGGGATCTTTAATGATCACAGGTAGGGAGGCTCTCTGTTTAACATTTCATCTGAGAAACAGCACCTCTAGATATATGGAGCTGCCTTGGAGGGGCCAGCCCTCCATACTGAACACTAGAGCCTGCTGCCACCAGGGTTTTCCTTGAAGGTCTCCCCACCAGGAATTCCTGCTTAGCTTGTGAGAACCGGCAGGACTGTAGCTAGAGCTTTCCAGATAAGTGACTCTGTTGGTTTATCTTCCGACTCTTGGAAATCTTACATGTCAGAGCTAACCAGTTAACGTAACCCTCAAGCCACTGCAATTTCCAGACCTAAAAGAATGGCTGGCAGCAGGCTCGAAAGGGTTAACACTCACTTCTGACATGGGTGATCCTCTGTCCGGGGCAAAGTTGGGTCCTGGGAAACGTCCGCAATGATTTGTGTCAATTCACTGTAATGAAAACAGACCTGTGAGGAGCTAAGAATCTATAAGTAATGAGCTGCCTTCAGGGCAGACAGGGACCGTGATAATCATACGACTCCACCCAACAGTTCCTGTGTTAAGACTGACAGATGTGTGGGAAAGACATCCAGTCTTGACTTAAATATTTCAAGTGATGGAAAATCCACTCTGTCCTTAGGCCAGTTGTTCCAATGGTTAATTACCCTCCCTTAAAAATATGCATCTTATTTCTAGTCTGAATTTGTCTAGCTTAAGCTTCCAGACACTGGGTTCTAGTATGACTTTTTCTACTAGGTGAAAGAGCTGCCCGTTCCCTTCAAGGCAACTGGACCCATATTCCCCCTCTACAGTCCAGCACCAGTTCCAAATGCTTCACGATGACCCCTCCGATCGATGGGGCTGCCCCATTCAACAGGGGGAGAAAACCAGGCATTAAGAGGTGAAGTGACTAGCCTAACATCACACGGCGTGGCAGACCTAGAGACAGAATCCAGGAGTCTTGACTCACCTCCCCCTGCGCTAACCACTAGAGCACACTCATACCCAGAACCACAAAGAGAATCCAGGAGTCCCGGCTCCCAGTCCCCTGTTTCTGACAACTAGACCACGCTCACTCCCAAAGCCAAGCCTAAAGCTGGGAATTCCTGACTCCCAACCCTACACCAATTTTAGTCCATTAATTTTCACTCCTATGCTTCTTTTCTTTACCAGGCATAACCATAACACAATTCTTACACTGTATTAATAAGGTGTTTAAACCAATTCAGTCTGTCTTCCTTTTACATCTTTTCTCATTAACATTTGTTATAAACTATTATAACATTTGATAAACTTTTATTCATGGTGCCACAGTTACGCTTACAACTGGGATAGGCCTAGTAGCTCCCGTTACTGCTCCAGCTGTTGGCTCTGACCCCTACACCACACTCTCTCCATGAGAGGTGTGTTTAATCAACAGCTCGGTAAATGCGGGGAGGGGATAATCAACAGCTCGGAATCGCCACAGACTTTGTTCAGCACCAGGTCTGAGCCCTCTCATACTCACTCCACTTCATGGGTGATCTTATTGACATAGATGCAGCTGTTGTCGGCTTCCTGTTGGTAATCGCAGTTTCGACACTTGGGAAGGAAACGGAGAGAGACATAAAATGTACCCTAGAATGGGGATATCCAATCAGAAGTTGCTACCTTAGTAAGCTCTGTTCAGTCT